CTTCCAGAAGTGCATTTGTGAGGTCAGGCACTGATGTCAGACGAGCAGTCCTGCCTCACAGTCTTAGCTCTAATTCATCCCAAAGGTGTTCTATCGGTTGAGGTCAGGACTGTATGCAGGCCAGTCAAGTTCCTCCACCCCAAACTCGCTTATCCATATCTTTATGGACCTTGCTTTGTGCACTGGTGCTCAGTCATGTTGGAACAGGAAGGGGCCATCCCCAAACTGTTCCCACAAAGCTGGGAGCATGAAATTGTCCAAAATGTCTTAGTATGCTGATGCCTTAAGAGTTCCCTTCACTGGAACTAAGGGGCCAAGCCCAACCCCAAAAAAAAAAACCCACACCATAATCCCTCTCCACCAAAAACTTTGCACTTGGCACAATGCAGTCAGGCAAGTACCGTTCTCCTAGCACCTGCCAAACCCAGACATATCCATCAGATTGCCAGACAGAGAAGTGTGATTCATCTCTCCAGAGAACACATCTCCACTGCTTTAGAGTCCAGAAGAGATGTGCTTTACACCACTGCATCCAACTCTTTGCATTGTACTTGGTGATGTAAGGCTTGGATGCAGCTGCTTGGTCATAGAAACCCATTCCATAAAGCTCTCAAGGCACTGTTGTTGTGCTAATCTGAAGGCCACACGAAGTTTGGAGATCTGCAGACAGTTGGCGACTTCTGCACACTGTGCACTTCAGCATGCACTGACCCCGCTCTGCCATTTTACATGGCTGAGTTGCTGTTGTTCCCAGTTGCTTCCACTTTGTTATAATACCACTAACAGTTGACCGCGGAATATTTAGTAGCAAAAACATTTAACGGATGGACTTATTACACAGGTGGAAACCTATCATGGTACCACGCCTGAATTCACTGAGCTCCTGAGAGAGATCCATTCTTTCACAAATGTTTGTAGAAGCAGTCTGCATGCCTAGGTGCCTGATTCTATACACCTGTGGCCATGGAGGTGATTGGAACACCTGAATCCAATGATTTGGAAGGGTGTCCCAATACATTTGGCAATATTGTCTATATATACAGTATATATACATATGCATATTGTGTATACTCCAAAAAGCTAAAATAAAGGTCAACAGTAAGTGTATTCAAACATGCTCAGGACAAATATAGATCTATACTAAAAAGTAAAAAAAAAAAAAATGGTGATGGACCACTTTTCTCTCACACACGCACACACACACATATATACATATATATATATATATATATATATGTGTGTGTGTGTGTAAAGAAAAAATTATATATATACAGTATATAAACAATCTGAATATTAAACTGACATGAGGTCGTTCAGAATAGCTGTGCTCTGATTTGTGTAGAAATGACAGTGAAAAGTGAGACTCTATAGCTCTTACCTCCTTTGACATCCTCTCCATGCACTCCAAGCAGCATCATCTGATGTGTGCAGAAAATTGCTTGCTTCAGCGTAACAGCTTGTTTTCCTTGGGCTGTCCTGAGCTCAGGATAGATGAACTAGGTTGCTGACATCACTGGTTCCTCCAAACGGATTGGCTGTCCTTTGGGAAGATGAAATTGCACATCAGGAAGACACAATGGTGGCAGGGGATGGAGCAGAGATCACTACTACAGAACAGCTGCCTGCCAGTAACCCTGTGGATGGGATTCCTATTATAAAACGGGATCATACACTGGAACATGCTTTGTGGGATTAATGGCTTTTGGTAACGACAAGGGACGCAGAGCTGCTGTGATCTTCCTAGATTGGTGTGGGCTAGTATGGCTTTGTACAGAGAAGTTGGTACCCGGAAGGTTACTTCGGTGAATTTGGTTACAGGATTTTTTCAGTATCTCCGGGGTAAGTCCGCCTAATACTACTAATCATTGTTTTTATTATCTAATTAATCTGTTATTTTCTGTGGCTGGTAATTAATGTGGGATGCATTAACTTGTAATTACACAGTGGGTAGATTTGGAAAGAGCTGTGCAGCTTGATTTCCACACAATTTTCCATTTCTTTCTTTTTTTTTTTGGCTTTTTTTTTTCTTTTTTTGTAGGTTTCTTTTGTAACTTTGTAAAGTTGTGTATTTCAGTTGCATGGTGTTTGCAACAAGGAATTTGCTGTTGTGGTTGAAGTTTTATTTATAAATTCTTGTGCAGATTAAAACTTCCTGGGGGGCAGCTAAAGACTCCATGGTGTCCTCAGATAGTGCCGATTATTTATGTCATGTGAACAGAATTGGCATTAACACATTCTTTGTAAATTATTCACATACATTTGCAACTGCGTATATTTTATACAGAGTATGAAATATATGTGAGTCGTTTTACATCATTGTCAGTGTCTGTAGTGGAAGACATCTTCAGGTTTCCATAAGTGTGCTCATGGCAGATAGATAAGAACATTTTTTTTCTAAGGCCTCATTCACACAGCATACACCCATGCAAGCAGTCCCATTCGTGTCAATTGGAACACACTGGTTGCACAGATACAGCTGCTACTCCCAAATTTATAGCTGTGCAGATGCAGAAGCACAGCCCCGAATGCACTCTCTGCATTCAAGGGTGTACATTTGCATAGCTATCAGATTGGGAGCGGCAACGCTTAAGTGCACCCATGTGAACAAGGCCTTAGTGTGATTAAAAGAAATCTATTACATGTAAAGCTCACCATACATATTACAATCTGATTGTACAATCTCTTTTAGATCTACCAAGATTTTTTTTAACGCAAGGGCCTGATTGGATAGTTTAGGTAGGTTTTTATTTTACATAGATTTAGTAAATCTAAAGTTGCTTGTACAAAGATTGCACAGTTAGATTGTAATGTGTATGCTGACCCTAAAGAGGATTACAATGACGTAGTGTAGAGCAAATTCTGGAATTGCTTTCAGTTTTTCTCTTTATGTTGCCATTAGTGAGTAACCAGCAGTGGAAATTTGGCAGTTTTCACATTTAAGGCCTCCTTCACATGGCAGTTTAGCTACATACATGAGCAAATGTTTGCAGCTGGAATGATAGGTGCATGTGAATAGCTGCGACTTCTCAGCCATTATAAACAAATGACAGGCTGACAGTAGCTGGTGCTGTTCACATGTAGCCATACTCCAAGCAGATACCTGTGGTAATGGACAGATGTCAGAGCCTAGACACAGCTGACTGTGTACAGTCTCATACATCTGACCCCAACTGCAGATAACCCCCCATGCTGCCTGTCTATTATTCTGAATAATCAGAACACCATCTTATAAAAGAACATATATATAGAATAATTGCAACCAGGGGCAGACTGACCATTTGGAAACTCGGGCACTGCCCGAGGGCCCAGGGTCAGTAGGGGGCCCCATGAGATGCCCCTGGTACCTTTTTCATAGGCTTGTTTGCATTTGGGCAAGGATACAGGGGCCCCATGATCTCCTGTTGCCCAGGGGCCCCATGAGTTGTCAGTCCGCCCCTGATTGCAACGTTTTTGGAGATAGACAAAGAATCAGCTCTGCATGTTTTGTTGAATATTTCCAATTTCTCCAGGTGTTAATGGTGGGTAAACAATAGAAATGATAAAAATCATCCATATGCAATCATGTAGAGATCAGCATTTACAAGGCAGGAAAAAGGCACTGTCAGGGATCACAGGTGAATACAACCCCACAGATCTATATATAAAGGCCGTGTAAACCATCCCAAATGGTCCACTGGAAATAAACCCCCAGAAAAACACTTCAAACGATGTCAATTTGTGGAAGTTTTGAATATTACAACCTTTCAAGATCTACCAGCAACTTCAAGCAAAACTGAAGCCTCATTGTTATCCTGCAGGCAGGGCCAGTGCTTCCACTAGGCAAACTAGGTGGCCACCTAGGGGCACTGCCACCTAGGGGCGTCTGGGCGCAGCACAGGCTGGCACTCTCTCTGAGTGGAATGCTGCCACATCATAAATGATGCTTCAGCTGAGAGGAAGGGTAGCAGAAGGGGAGGAAGAAAGGACAGAGGCTGATGCCGGGTGTCTGGGGCCAGTGTAGAAACTGAGCTGCCGCTCCTTCCAGTGTTCCTCTCAGACGCAGTCCCTTACTGCAAGCTGGCTGGTGGCTGCTGATCACTGTGGAATTCCAGCCCTTCTCTTCCCATTCATCAGTGGAGACAGAGCTGTGCCTGCGGAGGAAGGTTGTGTCTGACTCAGATGTCTTGTGTCTTTGTGAGTGTGGCCCAGCCGACTGGCTACCCATCACAAGTGTCAGTGAGTGATGACATCATCACGATCCCAAATCCTGCCTGCTAGGCCTGCTGATCTGTGTTAGTGTTGGTGGTGGTGTGTTGTGTCAGATCTGTTACTATGTGGGATTGCTCAGTTCAGGTGTTCTCTGTATGTGTGTGGCCTGGGCTGCCTGCTGTCACTGCATGTTATCTCCCCCCATTGCCTAGGGAATTCCAGCCTGGGATCTGTCAGAGCTATCTTGCAGCACTTATTTTTGCAAATTAAAATAAATGTAGTAGTTTCATGTTTTGTTGATTTATTATTTTCTACTGTTTTTAAAATGTTTTATTTTTTGGGGGATGGGGGAGGCAGGGGGCTTCAAGTAGCTGGTCTTGCCTAGGGCGCAAAATAGTCTAGCACCGGCCCTGCCCCCTGGTGTGTGGCTACATGTAAACAGTGGTGACTGCTGTCTGTTATTAGTTTATATAGGCCTCAGCTACTCGCTTGAACTTATCTTTTCAGCCGCAAAAATCCACTGATTTTGCCACTGTAATCCAGTGTATGCAGGCCTGAAAGAAAACAAGTCTGAAAGGTGGCACATGCTGAGAAATAGAGTAAAAAGGAATTTATTATGCCATTGAATGTTAAAAGTGTTACTAAACCCAGGACCCTGCATTCACTATATCTGGTCTCCCACAGTACACACAACATGGAAGTGCAATTATTTTAGAAAAAATACCTTTTCTCCTCAGCAGTTAGAGCAGTCTTGTGACTTCAGCAGAGCACTGCTTAAAGCTTGTAGAATAAGTTTTCTTTCTGCTCTAGGAGGATGCAAAACCCCTGACCCTAAGTCTGGACATTCCTGATTGGCCCTGTGCTGATCACATGCACTCTCCCAAGACAAAAAAAAAAAACCTCTAGCAATACACACTAAACTGAGCATGTGCATGTGGCTACAGGTTCAGTCTGTCTTATCAGGAGATAAGACATGGACATTTGAACAAGAGGAGGGCCAGAGAAAACTGGATCAAACGGCCTTTTTACACAATGCAGAGGATTAATCCCTTAGGTTCCACAGTGAGTATAACAAGCATGCTTTACTGCGTATACAGACTGATTTTACTGTTGTGGGTTTAGTAACACTTTAAGATAACCAAAGGTCTCCCAGTTGGGGATGACTAACTCTGAATTTTTAACTTGGGCTGCAGAGTGTGGCAAGCGGCATCGCCTGTCAAATGCACACATTGAGTTTAAAGGTGGTGAGGAGACAATATAATCAGAGGGCACCACAAACGTGAAAGAGCCTTTACTGTATCAACCACCAGGTAGCACCATAGCACTTGGGCGAAGCCTCGTATTGACATCATCGCGTTCCGGAAGTTGATGTCCTATTGCCGGCTTATCTTTACATGCACATTGTATTTACCTATATGTGAGTGTATTTCTTTGCTATAATGAATATTTTAGAGGATATTTACACCATGGAGAGCTGTCTTTGTTTGCTCTTGAGTTCATTGTTAGAAGTCCGGATATGGCTGTTTGTTGAGCGGCTTTACTGGTGACCAGAGAAGATACAGTATGGAAGGTGTCATTGATTTATATGGAATGTACAGAAGCACTATATGACCACTCTTATTAAGGGGGTCATAGAGAGTTGGTAAGCATGCATTCTATTATCACTCTGGATGAAGATGTTTGTTGGCAACCTCACTGACACAACTTTGTTTGAAGAGGCACAAATGCATCTACCCTGCACTATTACTTATAATCAAAATTTGTGATAAATAAATAAATTTTATATGTACCACAAATAATAGCGCAATCCTTAAATATATAAATAATGAATATTAATGAATACCATCACCATAAAGTGCAAAATGAATCAAATAAATCTGTTAAATCCTCAACCTATTTTTAGGTTTACCCTGCACTATTGATGGGACCCTTTTTTGGACACTATACTTTAGCTTTCATATAGTTTTTTGCACTTCTTTATATGGTTTTAATCTAAGGCTCATATATTGGGATTGCATATTGTATATGTATTACACTTTGTGGTTATTTAATACATGCAATACATTACTATTTCACCATCATAGCACTGTCCACCCACAAAAGTGAACACCCCAATAAAGTCAGAGCTGCAACAAAGGGAGGGAAGAGAATAGATTGAAGGAAGCTATAAAGGAAAAACTTCAATCCCACCAGTTGCTTAAAGAATACATTTGCGGTATGCAAAAAAAAAATAAACAAACATACCCACCTCCATACTGCAGCATCACTCACTGGAGTGCCGGGCTGGGGAGGTGACACTAAGAGGCTGAGCTTGCTGCCAATCAGGCACCTGGGTGGATCCTGACAATATGGGCGGGATACTTCCTTCTGGAGCCTAAAGGGACTCTTTGACGTTTGCCAACAGTGGACTTTAGCTCACTGGCATATGATTCTAGGTCACAGGAGAGCACAAGTAAGAAGCCATACTTGTCTGTTAATTTATATTCAAATGTAAGCTTCCAGTCATTATTTTATGGCTGCCCACGATCAAAGCAAATAGGATCTTCCGGTAATAGCTGTTTTCTGTGACTTCCTATCAGGATCAGGATGTAAAGGGGAAAGGAGCCCACAGGACTTGAATGATAAACAGCAAAAGTCAGCAGAAAGATTTGTGACCTTTATTATAATAATTCAATTAAAGCAATTAACTATGATACAATACAAGATGGAAAGGAGGGGATTGGTTGTCCCATTGGAACACTTGGTTAGCCCTGTAACCCCAGCAGGAGATTGCTGCCGAAATAAAAGTGTAATATATAACAAACACTGCAGTACCCAGAGATGTGGCACACATCTTCAGAGCAAATATATTTTTGTTGTGCAAATGGCCAAAAAACCTTTTTGGCCATACTTCAACTTTAAATTGAGTTATGGGATTTTAGCCATAGCTCACGGAATAGCTGGCCATTTCTTATATAAGGTTTCGGCTGAACATCTCACAAAACAAGTCTGCTGTTGTTACATCAAGGACGGTTATGTAATGTCTTTAACAAGAATTGGTATCTAAAACAATGACTATGTTGTCCAGCAAGCATTCCAATTTTCTGTTCTATAAAGAAGTACAGCTAAGGAAAATCACTTGACTAGCACCACTCCATTATTTAGGTTGAGCACTGAGGCTAGCAAAAAAATCAATAGTCACTTCTGGGGACGTCAGGGCAAGATAAAGCTTTATACACAAGGTTAGAAGGGCACTTCCTTCTCTACTGGAACTGTGCGATGTTTATACAAGTCACCGGCTATTGTACGGTTTATCCATCCTTTTATTTTTGTTGGAAGTGAAGCTGCACTGCAGAGCTTAGAATCAGACTGCAGAAAAAAAGTCCAAGATTCATTAATACAATGGGAATATAAATTAGGTCAAGACATATTTTAGATGAAAGTGCCAGCTTTTATTACTCAGGCCATCAAATGCATCTGACTGGAGTGTAGCTATGTTAACCTAGCCATAGACAGCTTACATTTTGGCTGATTGCTGCTGATGTGGACAAAATTTAAGCCTTGGGTGGTCCTACAAGCACCACCCTACCCAGCAAAAGTCTGTGAACTCAGAACATCATCTGAGCCAGGTGGAAAATTATTGGCTCAACATTGATTGCATCCTATCAGATTCAGTCACCATTGACATCCCTAGCGGTTTGATTATGTCCATATTTCTTGCTCAAAGTGGTAAATTTATTTGCATGGAAATATGTATTTCTTTTATTGTAGGCCTGTAATTTTTAGGAATAACTCACTGAAATCTGTCCGAACAAGAGCCTAGTAAACATCCCGGGTAGGATAAAACTTGAAACACGAAATCATAAATTATAATTTAATAAATAATCATAAAAAATAATAATAAATTTAATTCAATAATATAACCAAACCAAAAACACTGAAATTTGAAATATAGCGCCAAGTTCACACATCACTGAGCAAAGTCGCAAAATCATTTTCAGTGTCTGATGACGAATTTCCCCACGAATAATTATCACTCAATTCTGCAAGTGGTTCTAATTTACTATCGCTGTTCTCTAGCTGGTCTAAAACCGCTTTTGACCTAAAGGGACACTTTTTAGACACCATGGACGTTTCTCAGTTTCCAGGCAGAAAGAACGGTAAAAATGCAGGCAGGGCACAGGACAAAGCACTCGGGACAAAATGTATGTGAAATGGTTTGATACAGTAATGTTTTACTATGTGATTTTAGTGATTTTAGTGAATGTCACTTTTTGTCATTTTTGAATTTCCCGCCGTTCCGTCCCCCGTACGTCTCGACACTCACAGGGGACGGAACCCAGATGACAGATGCCGGCATCCGCCGGATTACATTGCCGGGGACACTGCAGGGGGGACACCGCGGGAGTGCAGGACAAGGTAAGTGATTGAGGGATCGCGGAGCAGCGCCGCATGGTAAGCCCTGAGTGTAGCTCGGGGTTACCGGTTGTGGTACTGAAACTTTACCCCGAGCTACACTCGGGAATACCGCCAGGGAGGCTACAGGGTTGGTTCACCTTTACCAAAAAATTGGCCCTGCAGGTAAGGGCCACCAGTAAATAAAAACAAACTGTGCAGCTTTGACCAAAGCTAAGTAATGCCCTTGCTATAGGTGTAGGCCATTTTAGTACCACTCAAAGAATGTTTAAAAAACTCCCGGAGATGGCATAATTACATCCTTGCTTGACAAAGGTGACTGAGTCCCTGATACATGTTGCATTCTGCCTATCAGTGTGCTTGGTCTCACTGTGGTGTATGGGATATGGCCAAAGATGTCACCAGCCATCCATCCATCTGGCAGATCTGATGTGAGTGCACAGCAGCTGCCTGATCAGGCACACATGCTCACTGTCTTCACATTGCCTTTCCACCACGCACTGTAACCTAAGCTGGACTTCAACCTCCCACAAGTGTGTATATTGATGTATTGATGTAGGAGGCCACTACGCTGTGAAATATAAGTAGCAGTTAGCAGCAGGACATGACTCCACACAGTTGCAAATAGTTATAAAATGAGTGCCAGGCAAGATTTATGTTTGTTCGAGCAGTGCTTTGTTCAGAAGAACAACTTTGGAGTTTAGTATGTGTTCAAAAAGTATTTCATACTTTAGGACACTCACCGCTTTAAACCTATGCTGTCTGTTTTGAAGAAGCAGTCTTCATACAGAAGCATTCTTTCTAGTCCTTACTTACTAAAGAATAAGTTCACATTGATCAAGTAAGAATAACCAAACTGAATCCTTGTGGTATTTACTGTGCACCCACAATGCATATGGGCATGCTCATACGCCATACTTAGCAACATTTTCCTTCTAGTGCCCAAGATTTTGTCACCCCTGCCCATGACCCACATATGATATTCCCCTCTTCCATGTGATCCAGCACAGATCCCACCTGTCTTCTGGACAGTCTTGCCCCTAATTATGTGCATGCTCAGAAACTCAGATAAGGGGTGCTGTGATCTCAGGACACAACTTGGGACAAAGGACAGAGATGCGGAACAGTTGTTAGTAAAATGAATGCTCCAGCCTATCATTGATGCCAAGTGTTATATGTAAAGCCATCCATAGAGGGATCGAATCTCGGCCCCCGGCAGCAGGGACTGGCCAAGATTTGATCCACCTATGGGCAGGCTGATTGTATCCAAGTTGATCCATTGATCAACTTGGGTACAATCAGCATGTTGGATTTTCAGCATGCAATTATTCCCAGCCACTATAGAAATAATTGTGTTCTCCCTACAGCACCCCAGGCCTAGCCCCCCCCCCTTCCCTGCCAGGAGAACACAATAGCTCCACGGGAGGAATTCCCCCATCAACATTGACTGTGATGATGGGGGAATTGTGGTTGCAGAACAGAAAATCTCATCATCTATGGCCTGCCT